ATATCCCTCTCCATTTCTTTTATTACTTCCTCCGTCATAGTTTGATTAAACATGATTTTAAGGAAGAATTAATTTTTTTAAAATTTATAATTTTAAATATGGTATAATATTGTGTAGCTTTAAGAATTTCAAAATTTATGATGTAAGCAAAAGTGACTAAGGCTACCAAGACTTTAGAGGCCACTTATAATTACTGAAACACCACCTAGAAGAGAGGCCACTCATCTCTTCTTGTTTGAGTAGGAATATTTTGATTTTTCTCGTTCCTTCTCTTCGATAAGAATAGGGATTTGAAATGATACAAATTCCTCTTCATTCTGTTGTGCCCAGCGAAAGTTGGCTCCAGAACGGGGGGCCGGCTCCAGAGGCGCTGCCGCAGGCACCAACACCGACATAAATTGCACACCCCGCTCCCGATCAAAAAGAATGACCCTATAAAAATATTTTAAATTTAAAACGAATCAGTCGACCTGGTCTACGAATCTATTCTAATTATCAACGAATTTCGCGAATTTTAGGTGGAATGGGGATTGTCGGTTTAATCATGGAACGTCTAAAAAGCCTGGTCAAATACGAATATTATTATAATAATAATAATAATATGCCCTAGAACATGTTATTTTAAATATGTCATAATCTTCTTTTTTTTGGCTATAGAAGTTTATCATTAGAGTATAAATAAAAGTTCAAGTAAAATTATTTTTAAATTTGTATATGATTATGTTCATATCGTGAAAGTAATGTTAATTTCTTTTGTTTATGTTGAAATAATAGGAGAAATAGATAGTCAATATACCTTTAATGAAGAGTTACATCTGGACTTGCCTACTACTATTAGAGAACATACGTATAAAAATGTTGTTACTTTGCTTAATAGAGAGCTACAATTCATATAAGGTGAAATCAAGATTTAAAGTTTATGAGTTCGGGGTTCTAATTTTTTTAAGTTATTGAATTGTAAATTAATAATTCATACATATTCAATAAATTTTATAAGACAGATATATGATTTGAATTAAAGCGATTGAGTTCCGTCGAACCCGTTGTCGATGGGCTAGCTCCGCCTCGGCATGCCAGGCAAAATGACAAGATGGAGACTCTTTGTTACTATTTTTTTTGTGTTTTCCGTATATGTTTAGTGTTTATCATTTTTCTTTTATCTAGGATTGTTTTCACGTTGATTTATCTGTATCCTAGATTCTCTCTAAGCTATTATTAGGCTCAACTTTCTATATACTACACTTAGGCTATATAAAGCCAGCGATATAATTAATACAACACAAGTTTAATATAATTAATACAACACAAATTTAATATAATTAATACAACTCATGCACAAATGGCATCCACGGTATAGGCGGATCCATAATTTAAACTTTATGTGTTCAACTTTTAAAGTTTTAGCATTAAATTCATTATATTTTAAAATTTATAGATTCATATCTACTATTTTTTGTAATTTTAGCGAATTTTTACATATAAATTTTTACTCCGCGTCGAAAGTTATTGATTCAATTGAACTCGTTATCAACGGTCTACATTCGCCCATGCCCAGTACTCCAAATATCGTCAATGTCGAGTAATTATTTATTACACAGAATGAATTGAAGTGGCACAGTCACAAACACAGTGTAATTATTTTTTATATGATCAGTGCAATTAACCTATTATAGCATGTAAGATATTGTTTTTATCAGCTTACTAATCTATGGTTATTATAGAACTATACTCTAAATATTTTATAAGTAATTTGATTGTGTAAATATTTTTTACACTTAAGTATTGTTACGATCCAAAATCCACTATAGGTCGTGATGGCGCCTAACGCCGCTGTCAGGCAAGCCAACGTTAATTTATCAATGTATTTACTCATGTTATTACTTTCAAAATCATAATCTCCATTCCTTAAATAATGAAAAAAAACGGAATTTATAGAGTAAAATGATAATAACTACGTGAACTACAATAACGAACAACTAGTAGGAACCCTTAAAACCCGTTGTCACAAGTGAATGAGCATTTTCTAAGGAGTACAATAATAATACAACGTCTGTCCCGAATGTAATAAGACAATAAAATAAATAGTACAATGGAGACTCGGTGGACAGCGATGCGTAGCCTAGAATACAGCTCACATAAAGTCTCCTCAATAGGTGCGCCTACGCGCCAAGGTGATCATCAAATGAACTTGTCAGATCCTGCACATTTAGTACAGAAGTACAACATGAATACTTAAATCAACGCGTACCCAGTAAATATCGAGCTTAACCCCTGATAAGTAGTGACGAGGGGTCGACATCGACACTTACTAAAGGTCCAATAAAATAATATAATAAAACATAAGCAGATATGAGGCATACTGCAATGATGGGGTAAATCTGTAAGTTACATAATCTTTCAAATTCTTCTTTCAAGGCAGAAATTTCTAAATCTTGTAATCTACCTTAACAGCTCAGCAAAAATTGTCAAGTGTCATTATCAAATAAGTAAGGAATACCATATAAAATGTCAGGCATCAGTGAAAAGTTTAGCTCGTGAATATTCGGTCTACTAGCGATATAACGCACGATTCTGCCGAGGTCATTCGGTCCGATCCAGAATAATGTGTACACTGCCGAGGGTCGAGCGGCACGAACCATAGATGCATCTATATACTGCCGAGGCGTTCGACCAGCTCCACAAGAAAAGGAAGGAAGTTACCGAATTATGAGACACGTATTTACAATACCGTACATGAGTACAAAATGGATATAATCTTTACCGTTTCTCAAATAACTCGCCCACAACTCAAAGTGTTAAGGCTTGGCCTAGTATACATATATTTATTACTAAAGCGATTTCAATTATAACTTCAATTAATTAAGCCAGCAGAATGAGTTCAAATAATTCAAATAATACATGATAAGATCCTAAGTCTACCCGGACATCAACGTGTTGTAGCTACGTTCGTACTTTCGTCAACTCGTGCATACGTAGCACCCATTACTAGTTGCACATAACAATAAATATTACCTGGGGGTAGTTTTCCCCTCACAAGGTTAGACAGGAGACTTGCCTCGTTCCGAAGTTCCATAACCAGCTCCAAAGCCTCTCTAACACCTCAAACTGATGCCCGTCGATCCAAAACTAGTCAAACAAGGTGCAAACTAATCAAAATATACTCTAATACCCATAATTAATTAATTTAAATAATTTCCAACTTCATTCGAAAAATTGATAAAGTCAACCCTCAGGCCCACGTGCCCGGATTTCGAAAATTTTCGAAAATAAACTTTACCCATAACACCACGAACTAAAATATATAACTTATTCCAAATTCCATGTCCAATTTCATGGTCAAAATCTAAAAAACCAAATTCTAGGTTTTCTACCAAAATCCCAAGTTTTTACAAATTTTCATGTTTAAATCTATATACAAACCATGTATTTAACTTGTAATATGTGGGAGTCACTTACATTGTGTTGCTTGACGAATAAATCGCCCCAACCAAGTGAAAATGGAAGAAAATGGGCCAAATCCCGTTCTTAAAAGAACACACTGCCCAACGACCACTCGCACCTGCGACCACTTGACCGCTTCTGCGGTTCCGCAGGTGCGGCCACAATACCGCTTCTGCGGTCCCCCTTCAGCCCCCTGCCTTCGTATATGTGGACCAGACTCCGCTTCTGCAGAGTCGCACCTACGACCAAGAATCCGCTTCTGCGGTCTCGCAGGTGCGACACAAACCTCGCACCTGCGCCTCCAGTCTGCTTCACTCCCTACCGCTTCTGCGATCCCTAGGTCGCTTCTGCGATCACGTAGGTGCGGGAGTTCTTTCGCACATGCAGCCTCTTCCCAGCTCCCTTTTAGCCGCTTCTGCGGTCCACTGCCTCGCTTCTGCGATGAAGCTTCCGCAGAAGCGGTTGTACCAGCAACCAGAATCCTCCAGTTTCCTTAAGTCCAAAATTCGATCCGTCAATCATCCGAAATCCACCAGAGGCCCTCGGGACCTTGACCAAATATACCAACGCGTCCCAAAACACATTACGAACTTAGTCGAGGCCTCAAATCACGCCAAACAAAATCGAAACTATGAAGCGACGATCGACATCCTTCTTTAACTTTCAAACTTCGACGAACGCATCTGAACCAGGCTTTCCCCTCTCTTTTGGACGCCGGAGATTTTGTGAGAGAACTTTTAAAAAATCTCTAAACTAGGAAATAAGTGGAAAGAAGACAGCTTTATAAACTGTTATTAAGGTTTTTAAAAGGGTGCCTAGTACCTTTCTTTTACGATAAATTAAACCGTTACCTAAAACTTTATGGCTAACTAGACCATTTATGGAGTTAACATTAGCAATAACAAAATCAATACTTAGTAGGTTTCCTAACTCCTAATTAGGAGGGGTTGTGTTTGTACGCGAGAGAGTAGCATGAGGGAACTTATCTACTTACTTAGTTTTGATTGTTACTTAAATTTTATTCTATCGTATCGTTAAATTCGTCGTTATGTAACAACCGTTATGGTGTGGTTGCGTCGTTACCTTATTTTTTTCTCTCATCTTACTCTTCCTTATTATTAAATAATTATTTTTTATCATTTATCCTATCTTTTTATATAATAATTCTAATTCATACCCTACTTTTTCGTTGTAATATTTACAAGTTTATTCTTTTTATTGCTGGTGTGTTCATGAAATAACAACAAATAATACAATCTATCCAAAGGTCACATCAAAACAATACAATACTATAATATAATACGATACATTATGAAATAATACGTAAGAACCATCTAAATTAGCTGTTAATTCCCTAATCATAAGAACATTTATCTACGTTACACAACACCTTTAATACCCTAATTATAAGAGTATTTGTCTACAGTACCCTTTCTCTTCTTATATGCTTCACTTAATTAATACTCCACTAAACACTTTTTTTCCTTCTAAAGTATCAAATATATAAATAAAAAAAACAAATATTTTGAAACAAATCCAATTTGCTAACCCCTAAGTAGTACCTTTTGGTTTACATAAAAATGAATAGATAGATAAAAGCTACATTATTCAAGTACACTAGTATTTTTCAACAGAAGAAATGCTTTTGAGAAGCCATTCTTATTTCAAGATGTTGGCTCAATCAGATAAGTAATTACAAATAATCAAGATTATTTCTCAAGTCCACCTAAACAACTACTACCATATATCACACTTGTGCATCTCATTTCCACTCAAAACTTAATCAACTTCACTTTTATGATATGCTATTGCACAATTTTACAGGCAAGAATGAATCCCTGAGTTGGGAAAAATGTATGGATTCCTATCAATTATGCCTGCATTGCATTTTCTGCGCGATTTTCCGCTGGAAGCTGCTTCTTGGCCAACATTTCGGCATGTTGTTGTAAGTACTCTTTGCTGTTTATCTCTGTCAACCTGCATTAAATGGGAAAATTTGACATTTTTGCAGGCTATTGAACAATTTAGTAGAAAGTAACAAGTGATTGCGAACGAAAGCTGAAACCACAAGTTAATTTCACATATGGTCATTGAACATTACCTACTATAACATTACAACAACAACAACAACAAGAAGCCCAATATAGTCCCTGGGGTCTGGGGACGGTAGATAGTATGCAGACCTTACCCCTACATTGAATGTAGAGAGGTTGTTTCAAGTAGACCCTCGGCACAAGGATTTACTGACTATAACATTATTATTAGATAATTGTACTTTACCCAACTATTACAGTAAAGTCGCAAAACTTCGCCTACTATAACAGTAAAGTCGGATTAAGTGGGTAGATTAGAAAAGCACTCTGACTTGCAAAATTATTTATTTAGCTGAAAAAATAAGATGAAGCAATTTACCTACTAATGGTACGATCTTTTGCAAAACCCAATTCGTTATCCACACAAAGGTCAAAGTCGTCGTTCTTCCTTGACCTTGAAGATGTTCTAGGTGCCACGTGTTGGGCATCGGATATTGTCACAATCCTTTCGAAAAGTTCAACTGGAGTCCCCTCGGCTGTGCATAAAAGTCTAGCTCTATTTTCATAAATTACCTGAGAAGAAAATCAAATAGGGGAAAATCACTTATTTTTATCCATAAAGGTGAGATGTGATCCCGAAACACTACACTTACTTAAAATTATATAATTTAGAAGTGATCAAACTAATCAAGAAGAAGAGAACTCACATCGACCAAGGTCACAAAACGGTACGCTGCAGTTTTATTGTGAAGCCCAAAAATCGGTACGCCTTCTAGAGCCAGCGTATGGAAGTTTTCTGGTTACACATAAAACAAAAGATCAGTTAAAAAACCTCGAGATATGATTATTGTGTTCCACTGAAGTGCGCTATCACGAAACTCCAAACTCATAATCGTAAGCATATATTGCAAAGGGAAGCTAAATTAAAGCAAACAAACAAGAAATGACAAGACCAAAAAACAGCCACAAATCACTTACTACATAGTCCAAAATAGTCTGCTGCGCCAAGAGGCCGGTCGCAGAGTTCCTCAAACGAAAAATAGGCACATCCATTAGCACCCAGTGGAACCTAAGCTTAGAGACAAAACACACAATTTAAGTCCAGTAAGTCGTAAGACCTTTTTACATCGTCAAATCAAATGCACGGCTAAATTTAGTCAACAAACCTGTAATTTCCTTCCCATGACAACTTCCACTTCTTGTGGAACCGGTTGAGCATCCCCAACTAGCATTTGGAAATGCTTTTTAATTAGGCTAGACAGATCTTTTCCAATAAAATAGAAGCCTTGCTCAGCCTACAGTTCAAATAAATAGCAAATGAAATTAAAACATGAGCACAGATTAGCAAGAACAGCAGAAATGACTGCCAGATAAACTTGTACAAAGTTGAATACTATACCGAAGTCAACTTCCTGTAGTCCACCGCTGAACCAATTTCACGTGCTACACATCTTTCCTGCATCAATATAATTTCCCAGGTCATTTTAATTGAAATGCAGCAATTTTCATATTAAGGATGTCATTTTTGAAATACCTTTAAAGTAGCTATAAAAGGAAGGAAAAGATCCCTCTGCAGTCCACCTTCATAAAGGTTATCGGGAGCACGGTTTGAAGTAGCAACAAGAATCTGCATTTGTATCCACGAAGGATCAATAGAAATCCTACATAGGGGTTATAGGACTAAAAGACAGTGTACGGAACAATGAATTACTCACAGCGCCGTTGTTGAATAACTGTCTAAACAAGCGGTTCAGTATCAGTGCATCAGCCACATCAGTCACCTATATTAACAAGAGAAAACTTTCATGGAACCAAAATCTTCTCGTAGAAGCTTAAAAATACAGTGAATAGAAAGGAAAAAGAAAGTGTTCCGAGTTCCATACTATACGGACATACCATGAATTCATCAAGACACAACAAAATGGACTCGTCCGATATCTCTCCTGCCACAACTTCTAGGGGATCTGACACACCCTTGTGCTTCTGCAATTAAATAGATGGCACGATATCAAAAATCCTCATTTCACAGACCCAGCATAATTAATGGATTGAAATTAAACAAAAAAGATTAGGTGCATACCTGTAATCGGCTGTGAACATTAAGCATGAAGTCGTGGAAATGGATTCTCTTTTTCCTCCAACTGGCAGGCCTGACATAAAAACCATAGATTAAGATAAAACATTTTTTTTGGTTCTCGTATAAATGCAGATACAAATATCTGCATGTGGCAAGATGAATCATCTCGTCTAACAGTAAGATAAGTTTGACACTTACAACTGGTCGAAGAACAGGTCCATTAACATAGTTTTGCCTGTCCCAACTCCCCCATAAAGATATAATCCTTTGACGGGGGCATATGTCGACTGTGGTATGAGACGAGACCATAACCATCTACTCCTGCAAATTTACCAGAGTGATGTGATGTATCAATACAATGCAACAGAAACAATCACGCTCCTAGTCAAATGTACATTTTGCCAATTTCAAGTTACAAATCATCAATTCAAATGGTGGAAACTCTGTAGGTGTGTACCTCCCGGCTTTATCAGAAGAGGCATATTTGTCTAACCGGCAGTCTTCAGCTTTTTCGATGAGCTGATCATAAAGTCTTTGGAGTTCTTGCAATGTGCCTACCTACATAATCAACATCAGAATCTATTTTCAACAAGAAATTATGAGATAAACCTTCATAACAAATTTTACTAATCATCATATCAACTTCATTCTGATATAACTGAAAGTGAGTTATGTATAGTTTCAAGCCCCGTCAATTATCAGATTTTTTGGCAACCATATTTACAATTACTAATAGTAAAGTACTGATTTTAGGATATAAGAAATTCTCCAGAGTTTACCACATTACCACTTCAATATCTCCAATGGATTCTGTGATCGAGTGCCACCGGACAGAATTTCTCAATATGAAAGTGTCATCCCGCATAGTTTAAAACCAGAAACACTACAATTCTTTTTGAAGGAGTTAGGAGGAAGTAACGCCTTTTTCCCTAAGAAATAGGCGCCATCAACATAAGATTGAGCTAATTTGTGATCATGAGATCACACTAATGCATCGGTCCTTTCTTTTATTTATGTCATTGATCTCATACCTATAAGCAGGGGGAGTCTGCATCCACGATTAAGCCTACACCAGTCCACTCATTTCAAGCTTGGAGTAGAGTCATTCTTCCATATGGAATTTCCAACCAGCATAGGAAGTAAGGAGGAATATGCATTACCTCTCCCTTCCTTTC